TGCGAATTTCATAAATTCGCGGGTCATTCCACCGACGATTGCCGGCAACTTCAGCTCTTGCTACTCTCTAAATTCAAAAATGGTAGCATCGAAGTCGAGCACGATCAACGCAAACGCGATGATCGAGAACGCAATGAAGAGCCCAATCAATTAGAGCAGGCACGCAGAGCCGTCCAAAAGCTGCCTGGCCCCCCTAAGAAGAATCACGACGCGCCGCGGCAGGACGATGCACCTGTCCCTCGGCGGAAAATTCACATGATAATGGGCGGCCTAACGACTTGTCGGGATTCTGTCCGTTCAATCAAGAATTACCGACGCCAAGCAGAAGTACAGCGCTATCGGATTGACGGCGGTACGCCAGCCTTCGCCAATACCGACCCGATCACGTTCACCGAAGCCGATGCGTCTAGCCTCACGGGACCGCATAACGATCTATTAGTCGTCGAATTAATAATCGGGGAAAGTACTGTCACCAAGGTGCTTGTTGACACAGGCAGCTCAGTCAATGTCATTTTCAAAGATGTTCTAATACAAATGGAGGTGGATCTACGCACGGTTGAACAAGACGTTCAACCACTAACTGGATTTGATGGAGACACGATGATGACGGTTGGAACCATTATGCTTCCCATTTACGTTGGCGGTACGATGAATTGCTTCAACTTTGCTATCGTCGATAAACCTATAGTCTACAACGTTATCCTCGGTACACCTTGGCTGCACAAAATGAGGGCCGTCGCCTCGACTTACCATCAATGTGTTAAATTTCCGACCATGCACGGCATCCACACATTACGCGGCGATCCGTCAGTCGCGCGTACTTGCTTTCTCATCGAGAAACGACTTCGAAACGCCAAGGCTTTCGTCATTGCCGAGCCCAGCCATCCGCTAGATGCACGACAAGCCCCTCAAACTGAATCCATCATTCAGGTTAACATCGACACGACCGATCCTGCCCGTTGTGTCGGCGTTGGCGCCGATCTCCCGCTAGTTTTGAAAGATGAACTCGTGGAATTCTTACGCCAGAATGCTACGACTTTTGCTTGGACAATCGACGATATGCCTGGCATTGATCCTAACGTAACCTGCCATGAACTCAATGTCGACCCAACTTTCAAACCGATCAAGCAGAAACGAAGGAAGCTTGGTCATGATCGTACAGCCGCAGTAAACGAAGAGGTAGCAAAACTGCTCGCCGCCGGATCTATTGTCGAAGTTCGTTATCCTGATTGGTTGAGCAATCCTGTGGTCGTCAAGAAGAAGAACGGCAAATGGCGTGTCTGCGTCGATTTCACCGACCTTAACAAAGCATGCCCGAAAGATAGCTTTCCTCTCCCGCGAATAGATCAGATCGTCGAGGCCACTGCTGGCAACGAATTGCTCTCATTCATGGATGCGTTTTCTGGTTACAATCAAATCCTTATGCATAAGAATGATCGGGAGAAAACAGCATTCATTACCGAACAAGGAACCTTCTGCTACAAAGTCATGCCATTCGGGTTGAAGAACGCCGGAGCAACGTATCAACGACTAGTTAACCGAATGTTCGAAAAGCAGCTTGGCCGAACGATGGAGGTCTACATCGATGACATGCTCGTCAAATCGACCCAGGCCGCCGAACACGTCAATCATTTGAAGCAATGTTTTGAAATACTCAACAAATACGACATGAAGCTGAATCCTGCCAAATGCACATTCGGCGTAACGTCAGGCGAATTCCTGGGATATCTCGTCACCCAGCGCGGCATAGAAGCTAACCCGAAACAAATCTCGGCACTCATCAATCTTCCTTCCCCAAGGAATACCCGCGAAGTTCAACGTCTCACCGGCCGTATCGCGGCGCTCAACCGTTTTATCTCTCGTTCGACTGATAAATGTTTGCCTTTCTACCAGCTTTTGCGAAGTAACAAACGATTCAAATGGGATGACAAGTGCGAAGAGGCTTTCAAACAGTTGAAAGACTATCTATCATCCCCTCCAGTCCTCGCAAAGCCCGACCAGGGAGAAACATTAAACCTCTACATCGCTATCTCTGGGTCAGCAGTCAGCGGTGTTCTAATCAAAGAAGACCGAGGTGAGCAACGCCCTATCTTCTATGTAAGCAAGACACTCGATGGTGCCGAACTGCGGTATCCCACTCTCGAAAAGCTCGCCTATGCAGTAGTCATCTCGGCCAGAAAACTTAGACCTTACTTTCAGTCGCACACAGTTGAAGTTCTCACGAATCAGCCTCTGCGAACGATTCTTCACAGTCCGAGCCAATCCGGCAGACTAGCAAAATGGGCCATCGAGTTAAGCGAATTCGATATCGAATACAAAACTCGCACATGCGCAAAATCTCAAGTCCTCGCTGACTTTCTCGTAGAACTCTCTCCCGAACTCGAACCTGGCGTTGCCCCAATCGAAAAATGGACATTGTATGTAGATAGCGCATCTTCCAAGCACGGATCCGGAATCGGCGTTCGTCTAGCCTCGCCGACGGGCGAAATACTCGAACAGTCATTTCATCTTGCTTTCTCCGCATCAAACAATGAAGCCGAATATGAAGCGTTAATTGCCGGTCTACGCCTTGCACATGGGATTGGAGTTAAAAATATACAAGCCTTCTGCGACTCCCAACTTGTTGCAAACCAATTCAGCGGCGATTATGAAGCAAAGAACGATCGCATGGACGCTTATCTCAAGATCGTTCGCGACCTTTCTCTGAACTTTGATCTCTTTGAGCTCACCAAAATTCCTCGCAGCGATAATGCACCGGCCGACGCGTTAGCAACGCTCGCTTCTACTTCAGACCCTGACCTTCGCTGCATCATTCCCGTCGAAAGCATTGACCGTCCTAGCATCGACCTTCATTCAACACCCGCTGTTTTGGCTGATGCATCACCTGTTCCCCCAGCCGTCGCGCTTGGCGACACAACACCAGCCGCGACCCCGAGCATCGTCTTACTCATCGTCGAACCCACACTGGCCGAATCTACAACTCCGAACGCGTCCGCCGCCCCAGCCGATGCGAACTGGATCGACGAAATACGTAACTACATTGCCGATGGTATCGTTCCGACAGATAAATGGGCAGCTCGACGCCTACGAGCTCGCAGCGCGCAGTACACACTCATGGATGGCAATCTTTTTCGATGGACTGCAGCAGGAACACTTCTCACTTGCATCACCAGTAGCGAGACGAACGATATCATGCGCGAAGTTCACGAAGGCGCAGGCGGGAACCATTCTGGAGGACGAGCTCTTGCACTTCGGATCCGGAAAACCGGCCATTTTTGGCCAACTTTGAATTCTGACTGCGAGAAATTCGTCGCAACCTGCGAGAAATGCCAGCGTCACGCCCCGTTCATACACGTTCCAACCCAACTTCTCCGAACAGCTTCACAACCTTATCCCTTCATGCGATGGGCAATGGATATCGTCGGCCCCCTTCCCGCGTCCCGGCAAAAGAAGTATATTCTCATCATGACAGACTACTTCACCAAGTGGGTCGAGGCCGAGTCGTACGCCAAAATTCAATCCAGGGAAGTCCAGAATTTTGTTTGGAAGAACATAATCTGCCGGCATGGGGTACCTTACGAAATTGTTACGGACAATGGGACTCAGTTCACTTCGCTCCAGTTCGAAGGTTTTTGCGCCCGTTGGCGAATTCGCTTGAGTAAGTCCACGCCACGCTATCCACAGGGTAATGGTCAAGCTGAAGCAACAAACAAGACCATTCTTGACGGGATCAAAAAACGTCTTGAAGCAAAAAAAGGAGTCTGGGCCGACGAACTCGATGGCGTCCTCTGGTCGCACCATACGTCACCGCGCCGCTCTACTGGACGTACGCCGTTTTCCTTAGCCTACGGAATGGAAGCTCTCGCCCCTGCAGAAATTGGCGCCCCAACGCTCCGGCGCTCCATGCTCGTTCACAATTCCACTCTCAACGATCAAATGCTCCGAGATAGTCTCGACTGCCTCGAGGAAGAACGGGATAAAGCGCTTCTCCGCATCCAAAACTATCAGCATGCAGCAGCCAAGTTCTACAACAAAAAAGTCAAGCCTCGTCATTTCACCGAAGGTGACCTCGTCCTCCGCAAAGTATTCGAAAATACAGCGGAATTAAACGCTGGCAAACTAGGCGCCCACTGGGAAGGACCTTACCTTATCTCCAAGACCGTCAAACCAGGGGTCTACGAACTCCTAACTATGGAAGGCACTCCAGTTCCCCGCTCGTGGAACTCCGCAAACCTGAAACGTTACTATTACTAGGCGCAGCCGCGCCAAAAAAAAAAAAAAAAAAAAAAAAAAAAAAAAAAAAAAAAACCGCTCGATCTACCGAGCTTACTTTTGTAATATGAACTACGAATGGTTTGATCCCTTTCTAAGGGTACGTAGGCAGTCCTTCACGGGACACAGCTATTAAAAAAAAAAAAAAAAAAATTTTACTTTTTTTTAAAAAACATAAGTACAAACTCGCAAAGCACGGTATCATTAACGAGCCCTTTCGGACGAGTCCGTCTCGCCGATCGCCTGGCTCCCGCATCGTCGCCCTGGCCAGGCGCACGATTTTGAAACGCGTTCCGCATGGATGCAGTGGCGAAATAACCCACAACTTTACTTAGAAAAGTTTAAAAGCCGAGCCCAGTCTCGCACAACAGCTAGCAGGCGGCCGAACAAATAAGCCGAGCTCCGGCCTGCACATTCTCGCCGACCTCAAAGCACCCACAGGGTAAGCCGGACACCAGAGCCGCACCTAAAAAGTATGACGAGTCCGTCTCGACTACATCTTCTTAAGCTCGGCTTTTCGAAACATATACAGGATAAGCCAAGAGACGTCTTGCCCCGCAAAGTATATATCGGAGCCGGGCCACGTATCACACTCGTTTTACAATAAGCGTGTCCGAGCTACGCCTCGCACAAAAACAACAATGATAACCAAAAACAAGAAACAGCAAAGTCAAAATAATCACCAAGTCATGAGACTAAAAGGAAACAAACAAAGTTCATAGCAAAGACCCAACAGAGGGCCGAAAATACATAACGCCGGTCCAACGAGCCACAAACGGCCGGACAAAGTTCATAACAACGAAAGAAAGGGAAATAAAACGAAAGCATACGAGACAAGTAACAGGCGAATCACTCATTGGCACCTCTAGCGCCGTTTCTTGGTGGCATCTGAAGAGGGTCGAGGTCGCTCTCGAAAATGTCCGGAACCACAATCTCGTCAAACTTCCGCTGCCAAGCCGGACGATCCGCCGCCAATCTCGCCATCCTCTCCTCAGGAATAACCGTCCCTTTCTTGATCATCTTCTCAAGGCATTCCTGAATCCCTTTCACCTGGCAGAGCGTATACTTAGGAATACTCTGGGCTCGCAGACCGATTATATGTTTTCTCATCCGCTCTATGCGAGCATGGTTATCCGCGATCTCCACTTCCGCCTTGTGACGCTCTACTGCAGCAATCTCGTCACGAGCCTTCCTAAGCCTCGTAACCTCCGACGCAAGTTTCGCTTTAGCAGCCTTGAGTTGCTCCCTAAGTTCGCTTATCGTCAAATCGAGACCACCAACCTTCGCTTTCTCGGACTCGTAGTCCCCCGTACGAGCAGCGACGGACCTCTTGGCAGCCTCCAGAGCAGCCTTGAGCAGATCATTCTCCCTCATAGCGGCCCTCACCTTCTCCTCATAAAAACCGACCAAGCGGTTCATCTGGCTCAGCGACTGTAAGATAGGCAAAGTCAGAAACCGGAGACACACGTAAATACTAAAGGAACGCAAAGCCAGGAGAAACAAACCTGAAAACTCCGACGAGCTACGTCACGATAGAGATCCACCCCAAGAAGAGAATCGACGCGAGGAAACTCAACGAAATCACCGCGAATCTTACTCGCCAACTCCGCGCAAGCATCCCCATCATTATGAAACATGTGATTCTTCGCGCCGTAGTTGAAAGAAAACGAATGATCGACTCCTTCGCGGGCTTCCCGAACTGGTTCATCGCGCCTGGCAGACCTTCCGACGTTCGACGACCTAGCTTCAGGACTGCGACGCGAAGTCCTCTTCCGCGAACGTCCACCCCTGGCAGGTGGAGGAGCACTCCCCGTCGCCCCTCTCGAGACTTTCTTCCCAGCACGAGCGGCATCCACTTCTGCCGACCTAGCTCGACGAGACGCATCCGGCTCGGCACGCGCGTTTTCTGCCTCGACTACCTCGACGACCACATCCTGACCCGTCTCGTCAGCCAACCCCTGCGGACCGTCCCCGAGCAAAGGCACGACATCTTCATCAAACTGATCAGCGTAACTTGGAAGAACGCAATCACCCATCCTCAAACACGAGTAGGAACCTACAAGAAAAATTCTACGTAAGAAACGCAATAGCGAGGGCCTAGACGAGCGTAAGAACGATAAAAGAACACTCACAAGTACGAAAATGATCAAGAACGTGCGGCCAAGATAAAGCTCTCTTCGCCTGCAGAATATCAAGACTTGAACGATCACCGTCAGTCAACCCGTCTGGCCGTTCTGCAAACCCTGCAGTACCAACAAAAAGAAATTTATCAATAATCAGCGAAGGAACAAACCTTGTCGAAGCCGGACCAACTAAGAACTACCAGGATCCATCTTCCACACGTTATCACAAGACAGATGAATATCTTCAACCGACGCTTCGTTTAACTTCACAAAGAAGTAACGTTTCCTCCAATTATTCGTCTTCTTCTTAGCACCGTAAACAATCTTAAAACGTCGCCTCGAACTTGCGCAAACAATGCCCGGATTTTTCTGTCCAATCGAAAACGTAGTAACCTCTTCGAAAAGGTTAAGATTCACAACTATATTCTCCTCCGCCGCCATTATTACGAGACCGACCGCATTCCGAATGCTAGCCACAGACAGCTGAGAAAACGCGATATTCCGCCGACTACAATAACTCGTGAGAAATTTAGGAAGAGGAAACCAGAGCCCGCACTCTGTGAAGTAAGGTTCGTAAACACATATGTATCCATCAGGACAATCAGAAGGACGTTCGTGCGCTTCAGGCACAAGAAACTCTACGTCGGCAGGCAGCTGACATTGTGTAAACATTTTCTTCAACGATTTCAAAGTGCTCACCGACTTCCCATGACCGTGCGAGAAACAAGTCTCGTTAGAACTCTCTTCAATCACTGCTTCGGCTTTCCTACTCCGATTCTTACGAAGATTAGTAGTCGCGCTCGGAGCCCTCAAACCCATCACGATCGGTGTCACCTCGCGAACCAAGTGCTCAAAAACCTTTCCACAACGACGACTGGAACTTGGCCCGGCCTCCACATTCTCCGGAGCTAATAGACTGTCGAGATATTGCGCATCTTCCTCATCCAAATCAGCAAGAGTATCATCAGCCTCCGACTGTCCTAACCATACACCTTGGTCCGCACCAAAACCATCCAACGTTTGCTCTAATTGACGATATTCATCAACCGCCAACTCTTCGCGAACGTAGTCTTCCGGGAAACGAGACATCGAATGGAACCTTGCAAAAACAACCAAGACACGAATCAGAGACTCGTCACGAACTAAACCGAACCGGCCGCGGTTTAGGCCCACCTCGCGAACGACGAAACTTCAACACCATTCCGCCACATTACAGTGATAATTCAACAAGGAAGCTCAACGGAGAATGTGGCACGACAAACTTGTCGCGAGGCCCCAAGGCAACTCCCGTTTCCCGCGGCAACGATGCGACAAAGCATGACGAGGACCATACAAAAAGAAGGCACGGCACGGCACGGCTCGGCGCTTCATGGTTCGGTGCAACGCGGCGCGGTACTTCATGGTTTGGCGCGACGCGACCCTTTGAGGATTGGCACAACGTCTCGTGGTTCGGCGCGGCGTGAGATCGTCGGCTCGGCAACCCGTGGCATCAAGAGATACGTCCAGCGGCGGCACAACGGCAACTCGCGGCACGGCAGCAGCCAACCCGCGGCACGGCAATCGACCCGCGGCACAGCAGCAGCCAACCCGCGGCGCGTCAATCGACCCGCGGCATGGCGAGACCGGCGGCACAATAATCAGCCCGCAGCACGGCGACCCTGGCGGCACGTCGTCCTGACCCGCGGCGCGTCGTCTTAACCCTGGCGGCACGTCGCCTTGACCCGCGGCACGTCGCCTTGACCCGCGGCACGTCGCCTTGACCCGCGGCACGCCCCTTGACCAGCGGCACGTCGCCTAGACCCGCGGCACACCAATGAAACCCGCGGCAAAACGTCTTCACACGACACGTCGCCTAGACCCGCGGCACGCCAACGCACCAACGGACCCCAAAGACCAAAATCAAACAAAAGATTAGAGAGGGAGAAAGAATTTTACCTTGTTGAGAAGAAGAAGTGAAGAAAAGTGAAAGTGAGGGAAAGAGGCATATTTATAAGGAGGAGACATTGCACATTTACCGAGGTAAACTATTGACTAATTCTCTGGATACACAACTAGCCCGTCTCGAAAAACGTGTCGAAGCACGAATCTCCCGAGAAGTTTCGGTTCGTCTCGGAAAACGGGCCGAAGTCACAGAATCACCCGGAGAAGTTTCGGTTCGCCTCGAAAAACGTGCCAAAGTTACTGTTCACCCGGAGAAATTTCGGTTCGCCTCGAAAAACGTGCCGAAGTCACAAAATCTCCCGGAGAAGTTTCGGTTCGTCTCGAAAAACAAGCAAAGGCTACAAGATGATTCATTCAAGTCAGACTCTGTTTTGCGCCCAACTAACATATTTCAACCTCAAAGACATGTCCGTCAAGCTCAAGCATACTTTCGCACAACGGACTAAGGGGGGGGGCTTATTGTTGGACATGGGCTTTGCCCCCTATATGTTAGGGGGCCCAAAACAGATGGCACAAGTTTATAAGAAAGCCTTGATCACTATGAAGAGCCCATTAAGCCCGGAAGGGCAAAACCGTCATTTATAGTGGAGACAGAAGGAATTTTAGGGTTCCTGTTCCCTATAAATAGTCAGAAGCATTATTGGGAACAGGATCCGATCCAGAGGTTATTAACCAGCAGACAAGAAGAATCGCTACCTAGCCCAAAATCGTTGCCTAGCCCGACATCGTCGCCTAGCCCGAGTTTCGCCGCTTCGCTTGTTTTCGTATTCTGTCTCTCTGTTTCGTACGTTAAGTGTTCGGCTCGGCGGATAGTCTATAACCGCCGCGGCGAAAACTTACATTCTGTAATCTCTCGATCGCTTATATCGTTAATAAAAGGACTAGCTCCGTTCACCCCCAAAATCTCGTATATTATCATTGTTACAACCTAGGTACAAACAACAAGCTATGGCACGCATTAGTAAGAGGAAGACAAAGGTTGAGAGATGGAAGAAAAAGGTCTCCGAGTATGTATCAGACATTCTAGCTGAGGAGGAGGAGGATGCTATCAGATGTGAAGTTACAAAAGGAACACATGGCAAGTATGAGGTTTGGGTAGATGGTAATTCTAATTCTGTGAACTTGACGACTAAAGAATGGGATTGCTCATGCTGCAAGTGGCAAGTCACTGGGATTCCATGTGAACATGCTTATGCAGCAATCATGCATGAAGAGAAGGCTGTTGAAGATTATGTTGTACCAATGTTCAATACAACAACTTGGGCAGAGATTTATGATACAGCTCCTGAACCTGTTAGAGGCCAAATGTACTGGCCTACTGGTTATGTCCTAATAACCGCACCAGAAGCTCCTGTTCCACCTGGTAGAAAGAAAGGAGAGAAGAAGAATTATAATCGGATCAAGGGTAAACATGAGTCACCAAAGAAAAAGAAGAATCCGGGTGAACCTGAAGTACTCAAGCTAGGAAGGAAAGGGATTACAATTCATTGCAGATCATGTAAGGAAGCTGGACATAATGCAGCTGGCTGTAAAAAATTCCCTAAGGAGAAGAATAGTAAGAAGACAAAGAATCAAGAAGAGGTATATCCCTTATATTTTTCTAATGTGTCTGTTTGAATGAGAAAGATGTTTAAACATGTTTATCTTTCTGTTGTAGGCTGCTGGATCTTCACAAGCACCTAAGGAGAAGAAGACTAAAAAGGGTAAAAAGAATCAAGAAGTATCTACCTCTCAGCCCTCACAGCTTATGGATCATCAAGAAGGATCACAGGGACCCGAAACACTCAACCTAACACAAAGAAGCAGTCAATGGGACCAGTGGGACTAGTAGTTGTAGGTTTTAGTCTTGGTTAGAATATGTAAGATCAGAACACCTAGTATCTTTTTGTATGTTATGGATGTTGATCTTTTGGATGTTGATCTTTTGGATGTTATTCTCGGATCATTATGTCTCTATTTAGATGTTAACAACAATGGTTCCTCAAGTTTAATAGGGGGATTCTTGCATCATTATCATAGCATTACAAAAGGAACACAAAGCACAAATCTAAAGCTAAAGCACAAAGTCATTTTGTCATTACAAAAGCTAAAGCACAAAGTCATTACAAAAGCTAAAACACAAAGCTAAAGCACAAAGTCATTACAAAACACAAAGCACAAAGGCATTACAAAACACAAAGCACAAAGCTAAAGCACAAACAAATCATTACACAAAACAGAGACATAACGACCACAAAGTCATTACACATTGCCTCAAGACCTACACTCTTCCCCATAGCCATACAATTGAGCAAAGTATAACAGAAGCAACACCTACTGTCTTCAAAGC